ACCGTGGGACATAATTCTTAATTCAATAAAATCAATGTCAGCCCCCGGAAAATCGGATGTTGTTACTTAGCTGAGACCAAGGCTGTTATACGCCAACCAGAATAGAAGAGAAAGGTCGAGAATTATGTCAAACTGCCAACCAGATTAGAAGAGATTTTCTCTTCTGAGCAAGGTCGAGCACAATGCCGAACTAACATGGTTCTGTCACCTGTTAATTAGCTACTTGGAGCAGTTTCAGTACTGCCGTCACATTTATTGGCTTATACGTGGGCTGGATACTAAGAGTCCATTAAGCTGAATAATTCCGCAAAATACTTACTTACCTTCACGCCTGAGTAAATATTTGTGACAGAAGTGATCTTTACGCTCAGTCGCTGTATTTTTGAGTTGTCGGCACCTCTATATGCTCGGATTTCGATTGATTGCTAAATCTTATCGAACAAGCTTTTTCTGCTCTAAGTGAAATATTTTGGAATTTCACAAAATTATAAATCAAGATCATTATTGTGCTAGCTACAGCCCGCGATTAAAAATCCGAGACGATCCTTTTGAATTCCAATGACTAAGCAATAACTACTGACCTAGAAAAATCTTTACAAGCTGAATCAGTCAGTGCGCTACGTCTAAGTGTTAGTGCAGATGATAGCTTATATTTTCAGATGATAGCTTATATTTTCAGATGATAGCTTATATATTCAGATGATAGTTTATATTTCCAATTCTCAACATAAGAAAGACAAAACCAAACGTCAGGCAAGTTACATCGGTTTATTATTTCCAGAATACAAGTATTAGCATTATCAGCTGCAGTTTTGGTAACGGTATGTTTGAATTCCTAATATTTGACTTTAACAAGTATGCTTTAAAAGTCAGACTAAACCAAAAATTGGACACTAAATTTGATAAACATAAACCTGACTAATGGAATCATTGTATTATGATGGAGAGCTAATAAAATCGTAACTTAATATCAAATATAATCGAACGGTGGACCGACATTAATGGACTAGTATAATACCCATACTTGGCCATCAATTGTGATAAATCGTTTAGGCAGAAAAATTGCTTACGGTACAAAGTTAATTAACATTGTCTGGTATAACTGATCTATCTGATTTACCTGCGAAAAATGTCTGTGATGCTTTTAGGGAAATCCAATCCATTTTAAATTCGATCGGGGTATGAAAACATCACTTTTATACCCATCAAAGAATCTGGTTCTTAAGTAATAGTAGCTATACCTGGATCAGAGCTAACTGTTTGACAGTGGCCGGTGAATTATTACACAAAAAGGTTCTGAAAACTTTGGAATTGTAATATAAAAACACCAACCCTTAGTGACAGTAACCCCCAGCAACCCTTAGTGACAGTAAGCAACATGCCTTGTTTATGTCACCGTGCAGATCGTCGTGGTTCTGAGCAGGTTATGACAGAAACACATTTACTGTCAAGGAACCTTACTCGTGAAGTCTAGACACCTTACGCTGAAAGAACTAAATACCGTTGCTGAAGAGGGCTAATATAGTGATAGAGTATTACAGTGCCACGCTCCAAATCAATATCGAGGAAAGGCATAATGCCAGGTTATAGCTAAGACAGAGATCTGACAACCATTGCTAATAACTGGTCACTGGCAACAGAAAAATGAAAACGCTATAATAGAGTAATAGGTTAAGGCAAAGGGGCTCCAGATAGACGTATTGTATATCTTAAAAGTAAAGCCTTTGACCTTCCGAATTACCATAACTAAAGCACCACCCTCCCCATAGTGCAATCTATGGTCATTACAGATCTGCGACGAGAACTTTTGATAGAATGAATAAGTTATTATTAAACTATAATTGTTCATCTCAAGAGGACCTACTTTGATAACCTGTGGTCCACTAAGGTCACTTAATGATGCTGCAGGTATTCAGCGGTTTATGAATGACAGGGTGCTCTGGCACCACACCTGTTAGGAGTTACTATCCATAGTGAGTCAAAGAGTATAACTATAACTACCGACAGTGAGTTTGTCGTAACTTTACTCTTAACTTATAGGATGAGGTCTGAAAAACGTGCGTGCCTAAAATCACATTCAATGATGCCGACTTTGAACCTTGGAGCCGGCAGGCCCTGGATGATTGAAATTGTACGGTCTCATTAAAAACCGAGCGTGTTTAAAAAACTAAAGCCTAATGAATTGTGGAAGGAAATGGGACGTTTAACTCCACCGTAGTAAGTAGTATGGTTATCGTGGAAAATAGAACAGGTTAATTAAAGTTCACTGATCATTTGTTTGTAAAACAAGTGCTAGATGAACCTGAACAGGTGTTAGTAAATTAGGAGTCAGTAAAAACAAAACTACTTTCCAGAGAATATTACCCCCGTAATAGAACACTACAGTCTTAACAATAGAAGAATCATTGCGGACCGTACCTACCAATTCAAAAAGCCAAATTTTGTTAAAATTGAGACCACAATTTTAACAACACAACGTGCGGCATGATCAAAATTTGATATCAAATATTAGAATATTATCATGCCGGATCATCCTAAGCGTAAGTACGTTAAATTGTCTTCTCCGATGTTTAATATCATTATAATCAAAGAAGCAGGGAGGGAGGGATATGTTGCGATTTATAGTTCTATATGTTTTAATACATAGTCATTACTGGATACTCCAAGGAGTGAGATCACATCCATCATGCATGGCCCATTAATATATTAATTAAGTCATATGCATATATTAAAATAATACTTGCCTAATGCCTAGCTACTTACGTCACAAATTAAATTGTGTATATTGGGAATGAGGGGGAAAGGGGATCGGAACATCTGGGTTTGAGATGTCTGATCAGTTGGAGCTGCTCAAGTAATGGAACCTGGCGAGCTTTAAGTAAAAACTTACAACTGAGCAGTCAAACACATGATATTGCAGGTTGGTGAGGTTATGCGGGCAGTATGTTGCAATATGCACAACTTAGGGTTCTTTTCAATGATTAAATGCTGCACCCTTGCGCTCTGAGTAATTTTTGGTTGTACTGTAAATAGCTGCATCTTTATTTTATTGCATAACGTTCCTTATTTTGAGCTAATAATATTGCAATACTAATAGAGTAAAGGGAAGGGCTGATATTAATTTGATTTTAGGGAATGAAACCGAACACAAATTAAGTATGCAATATGTCACAGTGAACGAAAGATGCACCGGCCGAGGTTATCAGCTACGTAGCCAGTAATGAGGCCTCTCTTGATGATAGCCTTGCCTGTCCTGAGAATATTTCCAAAAGCCAAAAGACTATTTCAATGTCAAGGGTGGCGAATAATGTGGCAAAATGTTTTTTTTCCTCCACAAATTTCTGCAGAAATGAATGAGTAATAAATCCCCCTACCTTCACTTAGAACCATTACAGTTATAATCTCATACCTGCACAGGTATATACACGAAAGTTGTGGTGAGAAAAATATGCCCAACTAACCACAACTCCTCCTTCTTCTCACTAGTACTAGTACTACATTGAAACTACATTGTAAACTAACATGAGTCCGGAAATCTTTCCCAAAACATGACCAGTCAAAATTATTTTGAAAGTAACAATAAAAAGAGCAAGGGCGTCCTAATTTCTTGAAATTTAAACTTCGAGATTATAAACCTACGCTAATGGTTGAAGTAAACAGGACATTAAGATCACAAACTTCATATATTTGACAAATGTTTACGGTGGAATATAAGACAATAGAGTTGTGGTTCAATCTAGCGAGTACAGTAAACAAACATGTCATTATATGCGAACATATACTGGTATAAAACATACAAGTTATAACAAAGAGTTTTAATGAGACCCTAATCGTTTTGAGAAACAGTTAAACTATACCAAATGGCAGTTTTAAGACAAATGGGGTTCTGGGAACATTATTAATAAATGTGACGATAGTTTCAGAAGCTTTCGCTCTTGAACTAGGGATATAAGTGGAGTGGAGAGGCGGTTAAAATTAAATATTTAATACCAAATGGAACAAACTCTAAATCATTATGCTTCATTACACGCGGTTAAGAAGTAAGTATGCTCCTACCAATCCTAATACACAGAAACAACCACCGATACAAATAAGCGGTAATCGATAACAGATCGCGACAGTTCACAACAGACACTGGTCAATTCTTTAGTACCATCACCATCAGATGATGAGACTATAATTTGAGTGCTGGTGCAGTCACTTTTGAGACGTAGGTATGTTCTTTAGTTCTAAACAGTGTGTTTGTTTGAGTAAACTGATCATCGGAAACAAACTGATATCAAGTGAAAGAGGTAATTAACGTTATCGTTTTCCCATCATTTTTAAAGTTAAAAGTCATAATTCAGTTATTGAATTTTTAAAAAAAATTTACTTGGTAGCAAATATGAAATGCTAATTAAAACGTATGAGAAATATTTGTTTGTAATAATGTCATTTTATGTAATTGAATGAAGTACATATTAGCCATACTTGGCATACACCCCAATATCATTCTGTATCATAACATTCACAAAAACAAACATGTAAAATTTGATGAAATGACCTCGAATGTGCAATGCAGTGCACACTTGCATTATTGCTGCAGCAACAAAGTTTTATACTCATGGGTCAATTCCATCAAAAGAAAAACAGTTGGCACCTATACTGAAGTATGACGAGATTAGCACGAATAACTTTCAATAATATTTTTTCTGATTTGGTAAGAAAACTTGCGCGAGCCACCCATATTGAAGCTTGGGCACTTTGGAATAGAGATTTCGTTTCAACGTTATTTCCAGTCATTTGCACGACATCTCGTATTTGAGCAAAAACCCCCCCTAAGATCAGATGAATCTTCCTCAAAGATGTTTTAGAATTTTAGACAGTTTTCTTCAGCTTCTGCCCATTTTCATCCATCAAATGTAAAATCTCAAGTATCTTATTAGATAATTAATTATTATCATGAATAATTATATAAATATTATTACCAATAAATTATTATTATTTATTAATTATCTCACGTGTGGAAAGGATGTTTTACATTGGAGAGCACCCTCATGATATCCCATGAAGTCCAGGCATCAGAACTTAACTCTCTCTGCCATTCGCTGTTTACTGCCGAAACTTCTCTGCAAAAGGAATCATATTTAATTTTTAAATCTGAAATTATTTAATTTTTAAATCTGAAATTAAAGATATTTAACCGTATGAATGAATGTATTTAAATATATGAATTCGATTTAATAATTTAATTTAATTATATGAATGGGTTCATAAAATGGAATTTTATTGAGAAGATCAAAGAAAACAAGATCAAAGAAATGAAGAGTATAGCAAAAGGTTTTAGACTAAAGCACAAAAAATGATTCAATTTTAGTAAACACATATTTAATCCAATATATATATATATATATACAAATACAACAAGATACAAGGACAGGTCTCTCCCGAACGTTGGGATGGCCTGAGGTGCTTATCTCCTTTTCAGTAACCCTAAGCCACTCTGTGCCGACGCTCTATATTAGCTGTAGGGGGGTTAGTCTATCTATATATACAATGCATAAATAAAGTTGTAATTCACAAACCTTATAATTGAGTCCCTATCCAATAGTGGACTTATAAAGAACTGTGCGAAGACATCCATAATATCATGAAACTTGAAGCGAGTAGAAAAGTAGTAATCCGTGACCTCATCCGAGGTGTAAGCATTGGTGTACCCATTACCTAAAAGTAAGCTGTGATCGTTAAGTATTCATAATCCGTGCTCATTTTAAAATCTTTCCTTTCGTATTTATTGTTCTTGGTTGAATAATTTCCATTTAATTGATCTGACACATGTAAAATTTTAATCATCTTCTAATTTCTTACCGTCTGTTTGAACGATCGTCTCAAAATGGTTCTCGTCAGGGTACTTGCCAGATCCCATGAACAACATGTGTTCTAGAAAGTGAGCCAGTCCTCCAAGGTCGTCTGGTTCAGCGAAACTACCAACTGCTACAGCAGCCGCACATGCTGAGGAGATGCTGGGTTCATTATTCATGTTTGAGGCTCATCATTCATGTTTGAGGCTCATCATTCATGTTTGAGGCTCATCATTCATGTTTGGGGCTCATCATTCATGTTTGAGGCTCATCATTCATGTTTGGGGCTCATCATTCATGTTTGAGGCTCATCATTCATGTTTGAGGCTCATCATTCATGTTTGAGGCTCATCATTCATGTTTGGGGCTCATCATTCATGTTTGAGGCTCATCATTCATGTTTGGGGCTCATCATTCATGTTTGAGGCTCATCATTCATGTTTGGGGCTCATCATTCATGTTTGAGGCTCATCATTCATGTTTGAGGCTCATCATTCATGTTTGGAGCTCATTATTCATGTTTGGGGTTTGAAACCAAGGCAAATTATTTCTCATATATGATCATTTGCATTCTTTCATTGATAACAATTACTAGTCGGATCCCAACCGTTCTAAAAGGCTATCTCGTTAGCTTTTCGTGTTAAAAGCGATTTCTCAACGGTTATCACCTCTCTAGATGATTCTTAAAACATTTGGACTTCATTGCATTTTTGAAATAAATGCAATGAGGGCGTTTTCGGCCACACCCCTTTTCAGGGTTTCGCGGTCAATCGAATTTTTGTATTTCAGCCCAGGAAGGTTTTAAAGACTATTCCGATACACCAAAATGTGCCTAATAGCCACATTTATATACAACTTATGAAGCAACATATACCTTAAAATGCTTCGTTTCGGAAATATGGCCGAAAAACGGTTTTTGGCTTGACGCAGTTCATATTTTCCGTGATTTTTGGCATTTTCGCCTAGGAAGGTCGCAGAGACTATTCTGATACACTAAAATGTACATAATGGCCACATTTATATACAACTTATGAAGCAACATATACCCTAAAAGGCTTACTTTCGGAAATGTGGCTGAAAAACGAATTTTTGCCGAGCGAACAAGACAGTATTCACAAATGGGCTATTGGACTGTTAACTAAAAAGGTCTTAAAGAAGATTCATGGGGAACATAGCATTTGTCACAAGATGTAAGATGACTCACTTTGTGTCCAGAAACACCTACAAAAATTGGAGAATGATCTACTTTATTGGGCATCTCTCTTAATGCTTTAATGGGCCAGGACAGCAGCATATTTGTGTCTTACGAAAGGGCAATTTTTCAAAATTACGGTTTCTTAAGGTCAAAGGATCGGCTGCTAACAGCAAATTGTTCGCAATTGCCGACTCATGTACATCATATACTCAAAAACGCTCACTTTAGGAGTCATTAGTAAATAACTACTACATGATTTGTGACAACCCCAACAATTTTTCCTTGGCACCAATTTAAATAAAATGTGTTTTTTTATTTTATTTGAAAATTCAATTAATCATTATATACATGTATATATAAATCAAGCGTTACATTTCAGCCATGCAAAATTACAATGACATATTTTGATATACAAATTGATGAATGGTACTGCAATATAAGTTGCTTAATGTTTAGCCGGATGACAACTAACGAGAAAAATAAACTTGATTAAACATAATAATTAATTCGGCTGAACCAACACATAGCTAGAGCCACATTAACGTTGTTGACCCAAATTCAATTTCAAACTTTTTATTTATATTCATGCCATGAAACCATGATATATGTACCAAGAATACCGCACCGAAAATAAATCGGCACTGGATCCGGGCAAGATTGTTGCTTGACAGCTGACCAGTACCCCACTTTAAGTGCCTCGACCAATATTGATCTGTAATCCCTGGATTGAGATCTGTTGGCTGCAGTTTAATTTAGTTAATTTCCTATAATACCGCAGTGGTTTGGTTCTCACTTCAGAATGACCCCATATTCTTTTTTTGTCGCATAGATTTTCCCATTGTATGATAATGCGTGTCATTCCCTCGTTTTTTAATCAAGTGGTGACTGGCTAGTTCTTCTGTTATTACAGCTGCCTCGAGATCTTATCTGGGGCATGGGCACTAACTAAGAACATTAGAACTGTATTTCTAGAACCTCATATTAAGGTTACTTGGCAGAATAGCATTAGCAGGGTTCGAGATTTGACTGAGGGCATTCAGGTAACATACCAGGTTCATATCACCAGTTGAGGTGGATCTTAATTTCGGCATGCAATGCCTTATAAGTTATAAGCTTATAGTAGGATCACGGGGTTTATATAATAGAAGGTCTCGAGATGCTGATTTAGCTATTTAGGTTTCACATGTGAAATTTTTCCAGCTTTGGGTAAAGTGCTAAAGTGGATTTTAGAGCGGGGAGGGGGTCTAAATGACCAAAATCTGAACGATCTCTTACTTACAGGGCACTAGTACTACGGGACAAGGGACGGATATCGGGCCTAGTAGCTGTTTTCTAACGAGAGGCTGGGGTATGGACCAAGATGGTCAACGTGAGGATAGCATGAGGATTTAGGATGCTCTGCCTGCCTTTCGTGGGGTCTTGTAACCCCGAAAGCTGGTATATCTTATCTAAATTAACCTTGGTTAAATCCCGTGCTGTTTCGAATATATCATTAGATTTATAGGTCCAATATCAAGCAAAAAAGTCTGATCACCGGTACTGACTACTGATGTTACACTTACATGATCTCCGACGCAATGATCTCCGAAGTCCGATCTTAAAGTTGGATCTCAGAGCCAAAAAGAGGAACCTACGCCTTGGTTCCTCTCTTTGAGAGTCAAACAGGAAATTCGGTGTTATCAACTCAAACTCGGATTCGTAGCACAATTGAAAAACCAAAGAATAAAAATCTGAATGAATTTCCCGAAATCCTAAAATTAATATCAGGTTGTATTCGATTCAGTGGCCCAAACTCCAGTTTGGGCTTACGATACTTAAGTTCAAGTCGAGGAACACTTTGATTAAGCATGATCCTTGTCTAGTTGGAGTTTTCGCACATCATGCATCTACTAATCACTCCTAAACTGAGAGTTTTAGAGTCGAATCTCGAACCCTGCCATTCAGTCAAGTAATCTTAATCTGAAGTTCTAGAATTACAGTTCTAGTGTTCTAGTACTAATGCATTAGTGCCCTAGATAAGATCTCGAGGCAGCTGTAATAACAAAAGAGCTAGCTAGTAACCACTTGATTAAAAAACGAGGGAATGACACACATTATCATACGATGGGAAAATCTATGCGAACCAAACCACTGCGGTATTACTATTTAAATGGTAAATGAGCTAAATTAAACAGCAGCCAACAGATCTCAATCCAGGGATTACAGACCAATATTGGTCGAGGCAGTGAAGTCAATTATAATTATAAAGTGGGGTACTGGTCAGCGGTCAAGCAACAATACGGTTTTATGGAATGAATAAATTAAAAGTTGAATTTTGGTCATTACATTTTGGCTAAATTGGTGCCAATGAAAAATTGTTGGAGTTTTCACAAATCATGCAGTATAGTTAAACTTATTTACTAATCACTCCTAAAGTGAACGTTTTTGAGTATATGATGTGCATGAGTCGGCAATTGCAAACAATTTGCTGTTAGCAACTGACCCTTTGACCTTTACTTTGACCTTTACTAAAGAAACCGTCATTTTGAAAAATTGCCCTTTCGTAAGACACAAATATGCTGCTGTCCTGGCCCATTAAGAGAGATGCCCAATAAAGTAGATTATTCTACAATTTTTGTGAGTGTTTCTGGACACAAAGTGAGTCATCTTACATCTTGTGACAAATGCTATGTTCCTCATGAGTCTTCTTTAAGACCTTTTTAGTTAACAGTCCAATAGCCCATTTGCATTTGTGAATACTGTCTTGTTCGCTCGACAAAAATTCGTTTTTCAGCCACATTTCCGAAAGTAAGCCTTTTAGGGTATATGTTGCTTCATAAGTTGTACATAAATGTGGCCATTATGTACATTTTAGTATATCAGAATAGTTTCTACGACCTTCCTAGGCGGAAATGCCAAAAATCACGGAAATTATGAACTGCGTCAAGCCAAAAACCGTTTTTCGGCCATAATTCCGAAACGAAGCATTTTAAAGTATATGTCGCTTCATAAGTTGTATATAAATGTGGCTATTAGGCACATTTTGGTGTATCAGAATAGTCTTTTAGACCTTCCTGAGCTGATATACAAAAATTCGAGTGACCGCGAAACCCTGAAAAAGGGTGTGGCCGAAAACGCCCTCATTGCATTTATTTCAAAAATGCAATGAAGTCCAAATGTTTTAAGAATCATCTAGAGAGTTGATAACCGTTGAGAAATCGCTTTTAACACGAAAAGCTAACGAGATTCCGTTTCGTCCCTGACTATACAGTGTAAGTCAATACGAGTGAGCAATAGTAAGTTTGATAGTGTACGAAAGTTAGAACTTTCACAGCAAATTCTTATTTAGAGAAGTATTAAGAAGCGATAAATCAGTCAAGCAGTTAGAACACGAGATTTAATATGAGCTCCTTAATGTTAACTTTCTTACCAGATTCGGTGGCATTAGGATCGCTCACTAAAAGCATCCTAAGACTGTTCGCTTCTAAGGTTATTGCTCTGTAGTCTCTTAAATCATTTGCAGATTTTATGACCTTTGGCTTGTTTTTCTGATGAATACGGTAAAGATTATTATGATGATGGACTTCTGTTGTAATACGTTAGTATTTTAGAAGAATACAAAAAGAAATGTAATCACAATTAGGCTGTTGTGTTAGGTACATTATCTGATGAAGAAACAAACTAACAATCTAATAATCACTCAGCCTTCATCATGATAAACAGATTAAATGTTATCTATGACTCATAGATAGTGAGAATAAACTGATAAACTGGTATCTAATTTTATCAGTAGATAAAGTGCTCAACATACTCACCAAAACGTTGTGAACAACAACTGTAGTCACAATACTGACTACAATACGCACCAAACCGTTGAAAACAACGACTGTAGTCACAATACTGACTACAATACTCACCAAAACATTAAAAACAACAATTGTAGTCACAATACTGACTACAATACTCACCAAAACGTTGAGAACAACAACTGTAGTCACAATACTGACTACAATACTCACCAAAACGTTGAGAACAACAACTGTAGTCACAATACTGACTACAATACTCACCAAAACGTTTAGAACAACAACTGTAGTCACAATACTGACTACAATACTCACCAAAACGTTGAGAACAACAACTGTAGTCACAACACTGACTACAATCAGGACGGAGAGCACTAGACAGGGGATGTAGATATGCTTCCAACGGACACTCGTCCTCCACTGAGAAGTTTTAAAGACTCTTAATAAGTTAATAGTACAGTAACCCCTAAAGTCTCCAAACTTTTAAACATAGGATTTTATCAAACAGAGACGAATATGAAAGGAGAAGTTTTAAAGACTCAGATAAGTTGTAAAGACAAGAAAAGGTTAAAAAACATTCCGTACTTTGTAGAACTGGAAAAGTAGACGAGTGTGAAGAGGAGGTTTTGCAGACACGTCCTCGTCCAAACCACAATAAGCCACTGCCACATCCTGCACAATGAATACTTGATCAACTATTATAAACTGTTTCAGACCGACAGACGGTAATTAATTTTCTAGGGAGATTAGTCTAGGCCCTAGGTAAGGGTCATTAATTCTGTAGAACAAGTAATCAAAACAAGAACGTCAAAACAAAACGTGTCAAACTTAAATTTTATGTGCTGGTGAGCCTATACTACCAACCATCAGGACAAAACTTGAACTATAGCACGCGAATATTTGGCCTTTATTAAATTGTAATGGAATAACACTAGAAAACTCTTCCGTAGCTTTTTTTAAAATTATAACTGTTCCGTCCACTCAATAATTAGTAACTAATTGAATAATTAATAAATTACCCACCTCGAGATCGACCTCGTACGGTTCGGTCATGGTGATGCTTCAGATATACCTTACAACTTCATACTGAAACAGAATACGATATAGAAATTAGCATACCACTAATCAATTGGTGCGCCAATGGCGGTTTTACAAAAGAAGATAATTTATTCGTTTTAAAATCGTGTACAAAACGATTTGACAATCAAGATTTAAAAATATCGTTGAAATTTAAAAACAGATAAATAGATAAATAGATAAATAGATATTGAATTTAAAAATAGATAAAGTTGAAAGTTAAAAATAGATAACGTGGGCTTACCTGTGCGTTTTGATAGGAGGTGTCCTCTTATCAGCTCTCTTTACAGATAACACACAATCTACAAAATCGTGAAATAAAGAATTGAATGTCTTTATTTTACTAGACCTTATGAAAGATTTCAATAAAAAGGACAACAATTGCTCAAACTATAAAAGAGATTAAAATCATGGCCACAGCAAAATCTCAAAACACAACATAAATACGGAATCTAGAAACACAACAAAATCAAGTAAAAGATAATGTCTTTTCTCACAGTAAGATCCATTAGCTTAAATAAGGCGATATAACGCTTTGAACGATTCAAAACGCTTCGAACGATTTAGAACCTGTCAGATTCAACTACAGTTTGTAGAGCATTATTGACTATAGTTTCAATAAAACATACCCACCAGCGATGCAGGTGTTAATGCACTTTATTGCACTTCGATTAAAAAGGAGCTTGACACAACAAACAGCTCATCCTACAAAACAGGCTCTAAAAACTAAGTCAGAACGAATGACGTACAGAATAAAACTGAGCTGACTCCAGTAGGATTCGTGAGGTAAGTGCAAATGACTCAGGTACCACCAACTCATGTAGTGTAAATTGTATATTGTGTAGTGTATTTAATGTACATGAATTATGAGTCATGGCGGTTGAATGTGACATAATGCACAACTAAGTATGTTTTGGCGAGTAACAAAGTTTCAAAACGATGTATTGATACCAAACAGTTTTCAAAGACCGATTAGACTAACAACACACGCGCCCTGACGTCATTACGTACGGCCGTTCAAATGACAGATAACATAACTCACATACCTGGATTCTACGTGACGTCCACAATTAGGACACAAACATTATGGTTACACTCTGCACGAATAGGGTACGATAAGAAGCTGCAACTGCATGGGCACAGCTATACAAAGTTACTTAAACTACGTGATCATCATCATATTATATAAGCATAAAGACTTGGGAGTTGACGCACACAGCTATTGTTGAAAATGTACTTTAAAATTACAACTTCAGTTAAGTTGAGTAATACAATCTGATCATTAGTAGTAGCGGATTAATCTAGCTTATTATAGGGTAGACTGATGGACTTATAGCAGATTCATCACATTGGAAGCCAATCTAATATCAATCACACAGCTCCACAGTCCACATATTGAATGATGCAGTACGAGCAGTCCATGAACAGACAGATCAGCTTAACAACCATAAAGTACACTGAATACATTGTACATAAAATGTACATAAAATGTATATAAATTGTATATACGCAGTAACTACTTAGATAAAAGAGTTCTGTGAGCGAGACACAAGCAGCGCTGGAGAGACAACTGAACAAGTGAGTAACAGTCCCCACAAAACACTCTTCAACAGTTCACAACCAAACAACATCAACAATTACAGACGGTTCAGGACAAAGAACAGCTCCAACACCAAACAATACAGGTTGATTGTGTTCAGATATTACAATAATGGGGTCTGTAAAATGCAGCAAGATAGCCCAGGCCCAGATATGGGATAATCAATGTATGGTCAAGGAGAGCTCTCTCTCCCTCTCTCTCGCACTAGTGTGACAGGTATGACTTCCTCCCAGCTTCTTCAGATACCGGATACTCAGATAGCTACGTAATTAGAGCGATAATTACTACCCGGCTATAGCTAGTACAGTGGTTAATTGCCGGGTAATGGGGGGGGGGGGGGGAGCGGGGGACTGGGGGAGGGGTCAAGAGAAAGGGATATTAGAGAAAGATAGAGAGAGTGGGAGAACTATCAGGGGGTTAACTCACTTATCTGTCTGAAATAATGTACGGGGTATGATCGTGGTACTCTAAGAGTACTCTAGGAGTACTACCTTACTACTAATGGAAAATACTCGACAATATAGCTGATATAGCTTTATACTTTTATAGCCCGGGATGAGGGCATTGTTCTGAGCGCACAATAGTGTTCAATCACATTATGTAGTTGCGATATATGGGTAGAGTGAGGTCAGGGAGTAATCTCAGTATAGTAGTATAATAGTACAAAAGTACGAGTAATCAATAAACACAACGTTATACGTTAATATAACAAGCTTACATTGGAGAGATCTGGCGTCCACAGAGATCAATGAAGCAATCAATTTTAGTAATCAAATACATCGAGAAACATGCTGTATTACCTCTCGAGCGATGGAAGCTGTAAGAATCAGACGTGAACACTGAACATGTGAGGGATATGTTAGGGCGAGTGATTTAATAAGAGCCCAATAACACGTGGTCGACCTCGCCACATTCCACAACGGGTAAATCGCTATTTAATTGAGCTTAAATAGCACCAACAAACCTTAATGTTGAGGCTAATTGCCCATTTTGATTTATTAATTGAAGGGACCTCAATTTATATAGATGATTTTAAATTCACTTACTATCACAAAAATAAAGCATGTTAGCTGCTCTCATTTTAACCATGATGCTCTGCCCTTCTAGAAATGAGAGAATGAGGGCATCGGTAGAAAAAACGTTCACCTGGTAACCTTGTTGCCCTGGTAACCTTGTTGCCCTGGTAACCTTGTTAACCTGGTAACCTTATTGCCCTGGTAACCTTGTTAACCCGGTAACCTTGTTGTACTGGTAACCTTGTTGCCCTGGTAACCTTGTTGCACTGGTAACCTTGTTGCCCTGGTAACCTGGTAACCTAGTTGCCTGCACAAGAGCAATTCTAATAAAACCGCACATCCACATTTTGTGTGAAAAAACTGATATGAATCCTACACCAAATTGAATGTTGTCTGCACACTGAACTTTTCTCAAGATATGAATGAGTGCAAACCTTTATTTTTGCCGCTAACAGTTCGCCCAAAAGATAAGACGATAACAGATAAGGTAATCACCAAAAATCAGGACAGACAGCAAAGTATGAGGGCCAGCGAGTATAATATCTGGCTTTCGCAGAGTTCCATAACATTTTGCAGTTATCTAATACATGCAGAATGATGAAGTGTACCTCTAGAACCGTGTTTACATGGGAGGCACCTAAACAAGTAGATTATGTGTGTTCATCGTCCAATATGACCGCACAAGTACTTGCAATACTAACAGGTTTAGGCAAACTGCCAAGATATTATCAGTTATTTAAACAGACATTAAACCCCGCAGTGTTAAGTCGGCTTGTGTATACTATAATATCTACAGCCTTCGCACAGTTCCGTGACATTTTGCAGATGTTTAAGTAATCTAATACATGGAGATTGGAGAATGATGAAGTGTACCTCTGGCACCGTGTTTACATGGGAGGCACCTAAACAAGTAGATAACATGTGTGGGCATCGTCAAATTATAAATGAACAGTGTTTGTATTGTTATAAATGCTAATATAATAGATCATTAGACCATGTGCGGTGGGGCCAGGGGTTTATGTTCTAAACTTCAACCTGATTAAAGTGCTGGAAATTTAAATTAACAATCTCAAACGAGCGTTTAACATTGGATAGCTTTAATTTATAGGCACATAAAAACGAATGTATAACTGTGTACTAAGACATTTAACAACACAGACAGTCAACTTGCTGAAAATTTTCCAAGTACACTTATATAAACAACGCACGAAATACAATTCAGAAATTAGAAAAAACATCTCAAGTTTAGGAAGTCACGTACACAGCTCGATGATGATTTTAGCATATAGCAAGTCACACTGACTTTAACAAGTCATCACTCCTGGTGATCTACGATGAATAATGGTAACACTGACAGCTGTACACCTGTACACCTTTACACCTGTACCACCATGAAGGTCACAATGGTTAACGATGAGCTACATGAATTCGTGTGGTTCAGGCAGATGAAATGTAGTGTTATTGATTTTAGGGGATACTATACTGAGTAAAATATCGACAAAGATTAGACCGATTCCAATGGTGTCTATTGAATAGCGTTTCGGATGTATTACCAATATCTAACCAAACCCGGGGGAGGAAAGTATGGTTAACTGTTAACATTTCCACACCTGGAATTTAAGCAATGTCAGCCAGACTTCCTCTCATCGGGAAACAAGCTACAACAAACTGATCTAAAATAAAGCACTCGACAACAGTATCAGAGTTTTAGGAACGAGCCTAGAGTTCACGGTTTACCTTGCAACTTGATGACTTAGTGGTCATGTATGACGTGCGTTTTACTCTGAGATTGGTTTATTTAACCGTTGAGATCGTCAATATAATCCTCTAATGGCTCTTGTAACCAGTTGTTATCAGTTATTCTCGTGACTGATTGTATGACGTGAGCAGCGAGAACCATCAAACTCAATAAGTTCGTGAAATGTGAGCAGATGTATGTGTGTAAGATGTGCTCAGCGAGTAAATCATAAATCTGGAAAATTTCGAGAGTAATCTTCCTCAAAAGATCGAGTACTTCTCAATCAAATAAACCGAGTAGGATTTAAAAGCATTTGACCGACGTTAACCACATTTCTTCTCATTATATCTTGACATACTCTTGACAGATAGACAGATTGCAAGCGGAGGAAGTTAGAATCTCCCTTCCTCACGGAGATACAGTCACTAGTGACTCTTGAGAAGGGACTCCAGCAGGATGAGGCGACTTTCTGTAAGTTGGTTTCGTTCCCATGGTAACGAGCTGTATTTGGTTTCGCGCGCATGTTTCTTGCCATTGAAATGGTAATTTTGAACGAAAAAAGCGGATTATTGTTGCAGCGTGATCAGTACAAAACGGGGGTACAAACAAATATCTCAATCATAAAAGACTGAGAGACGATGCTTTTTAAGACGCAATATATCTGGGTTACGAAACGCGTTTCAACCGTTAATGAATGAAACTCAGTACGTAGTTAATGACGGGTCAACTGGCACAGTTACAAGCTTTCTTCTTTCGGAATGTTTTGTGTAGAAATTAAATTGTGAGATTTGTAATAAATTGGATAATTACGTAAATACTGCAGTGTCTCATTGCAATCTGTATGCTGAAGAACAATATGATGGACCCAAAATTGTTTCATTTCATATGTTTGCTACACTCCGACACCACCAGAAAATGTGGACTTTTGAGAACTCAAAATTTAATTTTCCAAATTTCTTATTTCCACGCCCATTGCCCAAATTGAAATAAGATACACAGTAAACTTAAACACTCGCCCATTGTAAGGATGTTCAGGATTTGCAGAAAGGTACATTAGTTGGCTTGTAATCCTGCTGTTCTTCCCGAAGTTTCGCACGTACTCACTTTGTACAGCTAATAGGGCTGACTGCAGTTTGTCAGTGGCAAACAGTGGATTACCTGCAGCCGAATTGATCCGTTACTTCAAGTTATACTTGCAAATTACAATCTTACTATATATAAAACGAGACGATGTATATATATTTATTTATATATTTTACTGACACCACGGTATCAACTTTAACACGACTTTCCGCAAAACCCGTAAAAGATATATAACTAAACATTTTTTGACTGGTTCAAATACTTTAATGGCCTTCAAATCAGCATGAAAAAATAAGAAATTGGCCAAGGAATAAGAATTCCAAAAGTAAAAACTCACTTATAAAACTTGCAAGCATTTTAGCAGCTTTCGTCTTTGCGTGGTTGAATATCTGATATTTATCAAGGTTACTTAAAGGTTGATAAACAAATTTAAAATACGTTCTAGAATATCATTACAATATGAGTAACGGAGGAAACCAAACTAAGTTTATTTTCAAATTATTTTTTTCATCTATGAGTATAGGCACTGAGGCAATAAAGCAAGGGAGGATTTATGATGCTGGACGCAAGTGCAAAAACAATTTGAGCGTTATACTGTTGCAGAGTAAAGGAACTATTTCGGTGGACTGGCACAAGTACCTTGAAGTAGTAATAAGTATAGG